ATGGGCCCCAAGAAAGCTTCTAGTGCCAACCCTGTGATAAAAAGGGTGAGAATTGGTATGGAAATTAGGAAAGATTTTGAAGGGTTTGGGGCTAACCCTGAGATGCCTATGCCAATTGTGGAATCCATTGTGCCTACTTCAAAGATTAAGGAAATGTGTGAAAAGTGGGTTGAACTGCAAACCTTTATGGATGAAAATCACCCTAACACAGCTATTGCAAGCCGTGCTGGTGACTATTACAATGACAATGTTGTGGCCCATTTTAGACAAATCGTAAAGGAACAGGAGGTACAGAGCTCTATGGACAGATGTGTTGTGCGACAGAGGTCCAGTGACTCAAGCTGGTCCTAGTGGTATTAAAAGAAGGGAAGTAACCCCAGAAAAGGACTTGACACCGTAAGTACTAATGGAAGGGGATTCCCCTTCTAAACACTAACACCATCCACACACTCCCCTTCTCCCATCCCATCAATCATCACCAGATCTTGAATAAAGGTAAATGTCATGCAATTGTACATGTCTTCTTCAGTTTGTGTGTATTAAAATTAATATTTCATGTGGTAAAATTTTTTTTTTCAATACTTTGGGGTGTAAGGAACGGATTAATTTGATTTCCATTATTTCTTATGGGGAAAATTAACTCGACTAATGATAATTTCGACTAGCGATGAGCTCTCAGGAATGGATTAATATCGTTGGTCGAGGGTCCACTGTATATGGAATAGGTGGTAAGTTACTAAATGCTGTAAAGAGTTTTTATGAGGATAGTGAGGCTCAGGTTAGTGTGTGTAGAAGAGAGGGAGACTACTTCCCAGTAAAAGTAGGTCTTAAACAGGGATGGGTAATGTCACCATGGTTGTTTAATATATTTATAGATGGGGTTGTAAAAGAAGTAAATGCTAAGGTGTTCGGGAGAGGGGTGTGATTAAATTATTGGGAATCAAATACAAAATGGGAATTGATACAGTTGCTTTTTGCTGATGATACTGTGCTTATGGAGATTCTCAAGAAAAATTGCAAAGGTTAGTGGATGAGTTTGGGAGTGTGTGTAAAGGTAGAAAGTTGAAAGTGAACATAGAAAACAGTAAGGTGATGAGAGTATCAAATGATTACTATAAAGAAAAACTGGATATCAAATTGGGGAGGAGTATGGAAGAAGTGAATGTTTTCAGATACTTGGGAGCTGACGTGTCGGCGGATGGATTTATGAGGAATGAGGTTAATCATAGAATTGATGAGGGAAAAAAGGCGAGTGGTGCGTTGAGGTATATGTGGAGACAAAAAACGTTATCTGTGGAGGCAAAGAAGGGAATGTATGAAAATACGCCTACCATCTGACTTACGACCTGCTCGACTTACGACCGTGTTTTTTATGCCAAATTTCTGGGAAATAACTATTTGTGTTTACACAGTGTTTATCCTAAACCTTACAGTATAAAATACAGTACTAACAGCATAAAAAGTAAAGTAAAAATGAAATACCAAAATAAAACAAAAGTCATTACAAAAATGTGATGTTGATATTCAGTAGTAAAGTTCGACATACGACCGGTTTCTCGGAACCGAACTCGGTCGTAAGTCGGATGGTAGGTGTACGTATAATAGTACCAACACTTATTTGGGTGTGAAGCTTGGGTTGTGAATGCAACAGCGAGGAGGCAGTGGAGATGTCCTGTCTAAGGGCAATGCGTGGTGTAAATATTATGCAGAAAATTTGGAGTGTGGAAATTAGGAGGTGTGGAGTTAATAAAAGTATTAGTCAGAGGGCTGAAGAGGGGTTGTTGAGGTGGTTTGGTCAGTTAGAGAGAATGGATCAAAGTAGAATGACATGGAGAGCATTTAAATTTGTAGGGGAAGGAAGGCGGGGTAGGGGTTGTCCTCGAAAAGATTGGGAGGAAGGGGTAAGGGAGGTTTTGTGTGCGAGGGGCTTGGACTTCCAGCAGGCGTGCGTGGCGTGTTCAATAGGAGTGAATGGAGATGAATAGTATTTAGGACCTGACAATCTGTTGGAGTGTGAGCAGGGCAATATTTAGTGAAGGGATTCAGGGAAACCGGTTATTTTTATATAGCCGAACTTGAGTCCTTGAAATGGGAAGTACAATGCCTGCACTCTAAAGGAGGGGTTCGGGATATTGGCAGTTTGGAGGGATATGTTGTGTATCTTTATACGTATATATACTCTTCTAAACGGTTGTGTTCTGAGCACCTCTGCAAAAACAGTGATTATGTGTGAGTGAGGTGAGTGTTGAATGGTGATGAAAGTATTTTCTTTTTGGGGATGTTCTTTCTTTTTGGGTCACCCTGCCTTGGTGGGAGATGGCCGACTTGTTAAAAAAAAAAAGAAAAAAGTAATGATAATACATTGGGTTTCCACGCTACAGTAACTGAAGCCAAAGAGACTGACCAAGCACTACTACTGTTTGCTTGCTCCTGGAGCTATAGTGTATTGGTAGGCAACACAAAGTACAAGAAGGGGTTCAATGCTAGCCTTGCTGAATCATTGGCTGGTCATATATGGCTAGGGTTAGCAGGCATTGGAGGGAGTACACACTTTCGATTCTGTTGCTGTTCCAAGAGGTTCTGATGATTATTTTCCATTACCTCTGGGGATGTATCTTATTTTGTTGGATTTGGTGGTTGATAGGGAGTTGGAAAGGTGAAGTTTTTTTTATTGCTGCATTACTTTACCTCGTATGGGAGTTGTTGAATGGTGACCAGGTTTGCAATATGCCTCATTTTGAAAGAACCCCAATGTTTTTTCCACATCATTCTTCTTTTCCCTTGATCTACTGCCTTTGTCAGTTCAAGACATACAGTGGACCCCTGCCTTACGATCAGCTCCCAACTCAAACAATTATGTAAGTGTATTTTTATAAGTGCTTTTGTACATGTATTTTCGGGGGTCTGAAACGGACTAATCTAATTTACAGTATTCCTTAGGGGAACAAATTCGTTCGGTAATGGCACCCGAACAGACTTCTGGAATGAATTAATATCATAAGTCGGGGTCCACTGTATTCAGCTTTCTCTCTACTCGTATTCTTCATATTTGTCCTATAAAAGTCTTCTTGCCATGCTGCACAGGCATTATTCATCCTTCAGTTGTGAGACATGTATGTAATTTTTGCGCTCCAGTCAAGTACAACAGGGGATGTATTTGTTGTTAATGTTATACTGGTGAATCAGGCCAGCAACTTGAAGGCCTACTTTGGGACTGGGTTGCAGGGGCTGTGACCCTCAGTAAGTAGCTATAGGTAACCTACACACTACATGTTTCTGTCACCTTTCTTCTATCACATGGCTATAAGATCATAAATTGCTTGTATCTCTTAACCCCTTGACTCTCGAAACCCCAAATCCTGAGGTGTTTCCTGGTGTCGAAAAATTTAAAAAAAAAAAAAATTCTTATGAAACGATAGAGAATCTTTTCCCGATGGTAATGACAAAAAAAGAACGAAATTTGATGGAAAACTTATGGAATTGCGCTCTCACGAAGTTAGCAACCTCGATGATATTTATGAATCGGCAATTTCACCCACTTTAAGCCCTATTTTTGGGTAATTTCATTGTTCCAGTCGACCAAACTCATAGCTATTTCTTTAGAACTCCATTTGTTCTATCGATTGAGTACAAGAAACTGCCCATTTACCAATTTCAACTACCCAATAACGTGATCAGAAATTTGCAATTTGGCCAATTTCACGCATATTAAAAAATATGCGTTTCAAAATAGGGTCCAGAATGGACAATACAGACATTCCTGGCTCTAAAATAAGATTTTCTTTGTTCATCAGTCACGTCTCCAGGCCCCTCTGATATTACTCTTGCTTTCTATTTTGAATTTTTTTCAAACAAAAAATAGAAGATTTACTTTTATGCAGACTACTGCAATATTGTAATAATTGTATAAAAAACATCAACCCATTCACGACTGCATATCAGAATGGCTAGTTGGACATTTATTGGACAAAGACATCATTTGTTTACTTTTGAGCATCAGCAAAAATCAAACATTTCCCCTACTTTGAGCTCCATTTCAAGGTTCTTTTCATGGTAAAACCAATCAACATCACCTCTATTTCTATAATATGTTTCCCATTCTATCAAATGAGACCAAGAAAACGAGAATACAACCATAAATACTATACGAAAATACACCACAAAGTCGGCATTTTAATCCAAAAAACCGGTCGGAGTTTTTTCTCATTATGCACTGCGTGCTGCAGGATTTTTTTTATATAATGCACACTGACCACACAGACCCATTCTCTCACATGTGGGCCTACCTGCTTGATTGAAGCCGCTAGAATTTTTGAGTATATATACAGTGGACCCCCGGTTAACGATATTTTTTCATTCCAGAAGTATGTTCAGGTGCCAGTACTGACCGAATTTGTTCCCATAAGGAATATTGTGAAGTAGGTTAGTCCATTTCAGACCCCCAAACATACACGTACAAACGCACTTACATAAATACACTTACATAATTGGTCGCATTGGGAGGTGATTGTTAAGCGGGTGTCCACTGTATATGTCAAACACGGTGGCTCGTAAGACGTATATATATGACCGAAACAGTCAAAGGGTTAATTTGATGCCCTTTCCAAACTACAGGCAGCAGCTGTTACATCAATCATAAAAATTCCTTTCTGAAAAGGCCTTCAGTTCATCATCATCAGTGGGAAATAGATTACTGTTCTGCTTCGTGTTTTCTTGTTATCTGACTGTGTCAGAGATCACTTTCTTTAAATTGCAGACGTTCACAAAAATCTCTATAGAATCCAGGCAGTTGCACTTCATGCTGACACCTCAAAGCAGTAAATGTACACTACTTTTTCTATAATTTTAATATTATATTTTGTGTCCCTAATGTTTAGGCACATCAGTTTGTCATTACCTATTTTAACACTTCCTTTTGTGTAAGAATTTACTTATCCTAAGTGGAACATATAACTAAATTCTATTGTGTGACTAAACTAGTGTGTTTATGGTTTTTTCAGGTGACGCAGAAGAGTGAGCGGCAAAATGAGCGGCCAGCTAGCTACCTCAATATAGCCTTCACTGGTTTCCATGATGATAAATGTGAGTCATTTTTATTTTTGTTTCTAAATATTTGCGATACAGTGTTATCTTCAAAAAATTTCTGAAGATAAGCAACAATAGCCACACTCTATGTTGAGTAATGTATGTTGATAATTTTTTTATGGCACTGACAATTCTTTGCAAGTGAGGATACTATGTAAGCAATTTATACAGGTTTTTCTCTTAGTTGTTGAATATGTATATTAACTAAGATTTAGCATTTTGGTGTATTAAAGTGGTTACATATGTTGTATTTTGTTGAAGGCTTGTAGCTCCTGATATTATTACTGGACTGAAGGTGAACCTTAAATATTTCAGTTGTTGCATTCTACCCTCTAGTGCAAAAGAATATTGGTGGTCATTCCTAATGTTGTATTCTATTTTTTCCTTATTAGATACTTTTGTTTTAGCCATTTAGGCCCATGGATAATGACTTCCCATCTCATGCAGGGTTTATGTATAAATCAGTCATATTCATTGTGGCAAACCTTGATAAATATATAAGTTTAGTGTAAAGCATTAAATATTTCTCTTCTGAAAGGATAATTTTTTAGGTTCCAAAATGTTTGACATATTCAACAAGTAGTTCAGTCTTAGTATTTTAACAGTGGAAGGTGTGTGTGGGGACGTTGCTCGAGTGGAAACTTTTATTGTCAAGATGTGTCATAAGAAGCGGAAAGAATCATCAGCGCCATTAATGCAAGTATGTATGCAACAGGTTTTTGTGCTAATGTGTAGTTAGATCACCACCTGAGGAAGTTTGTGCTGTACAGTAAATATATGTGTGTGTGTGTGTGTAAGGAAAATGCAAGACGACTAAACCCTTTCGCCGACTGTGCTGTAGTACTATGACTGAGGTCAATGTCAGTGCTGTAGTGCTATACCATTAGCTCAACTCACTCAGATAACCTGTGAGTGGTAAATTTGGGCCTAGATATAAGAGAAAGAGTCTGTGGTAAGTCTGCACCATATATAAAAATCCTGCAGCACATAGTGCATGAGAAAAAACTGCAACCCTATTTTTAGTTTAAAACAATGATTTTGCAGTGTATTTTCGTACGGTTTTTATGGTTGTATTCTCGTTTCTTTAGTCTCATTTGATGGAAGTTTTAAGATAGAGATTGTTAATTGGCTTCATTGATTGAAATTTGAATATTGTTGCTCAAAGTGCAAATTTGAGTTTTTGCCAATATTAAAGAGTAAACTGATAAATCAAGTGTTCAGTGTCCAATAATGTCCAACTGTTTTGGGCTGATATGCATAAAGTAATCTTCTATTTTTGTGTGATAAAAAGTTCACTTAGTGAATAAAAAATAAAAAATTAATCATGTGAAAACCTGAGACTTAAGCTATGATGAAGAGATAAATATTAAGTTGGTGTATTGGTATGCTGCAACTGTTTTTCAAACCCTGTTTGATATTAGAATTACAGTGGACCCGGTTAAATATTTTTCACTCCAAAAGTAATGTTCAGGTGCATTACACCGAATTTGTGTTCATAACAATAATATTGTGAAGGTAAATTAGTCCATTTCAGACTCCAAAACATAACAAACAAACCACTACTCATAAAAACTTACATAATGTCAATTGGAGGTAATTTGTCAGAATGCGGGTTCACTTCTAACTTTTGAAATTTGTGAAATTGGCCAAATTTACGAAATTGCTATTTTTGGGTAATTGAAATATTGAGTGGGCAATTTCTTGTGTCAGTCGATGAAATTTTGTGACATCATAAAAATAGCTAAGAATTGGTCGACTGGAACAGTGTAAATTACCTAAAATAGGACTCAAAGTGGGCAAAATTGCCGATGCATTAAGTATTACTGACACAGCAAAATTCATGAAAGTGTAATGTCATCAATTTTCCATTAAGTTTCGTACTTTTTGTTGTATTACCTCCAGAAAAAGGTTCTCTACAATTTCATAAGAAATTTTTTTTTTTTTTTTTTTTTTTTTAATTCTTGGACATTGGACAAGTTTCAGATTGAGGGTCTGGACAGTAAAAGAATGACGTAAGTAAGTTTATTAAGGTATACACAAATACAGTTGCATAGATTTTCATACATAGCAGCATGTGTGTAGAGAACCTAGAATAACCCAAAATTTTTTAGTCAGACAGAGTGACTTATTTCCATTGGGGTCCTTTATTAACTCTGAATCTTTTTTTTTTTTTTTTTTCTATTAGTTCTTGGGTATCATGGTGGGTTCTCAATGAACCCACCATGATACCCAAAACTGGGTTGTCAGTTTTGTTTGCAGTTCCATGTTTGAATCTACTGAGAAAACAGTTTACTGATGATTGGCCTTTGTCTAATTTTGCATACATGGCCAAATGCTCATCAGCCCATCCTTGCCCCTCCCCCCCCTTTTTTTTTTATTGGCAGGATTCCTGATCTTCCCTTTTTCTGTCTGTCTCATGAATGTGTAAGATGACAGGTTACTTATACAAACTTCTTTTTTTATTCATTATACTGATACCTTTGAGCTTTTTTTTACTCCCAGAGCCCGGCCTTATACGGTTCTTACAGCTCTTACTCGTAATTTTTTCTTTTCCAGTCAAGTAGGCTTGGTGTGAGACTGGGCCTTGAAGATATGGTAATCCCCAAAGCCACTAACCAATAGCTGTAAAAGCATAATTGTTCTACAAAGCAACTCTTTCATATTTGTTACTGAAATGTTGACCATGCATCTTGTTCTAACGTGGAAAATAATTTTACGGTGCTTCATTAACCCTTTCAGGGTCGAGAGGCCCTCTCCAAAACTTGTTCTCAGGGTCGAAAATTTTTTGGAAAAATTTTTTTTTCTTATGAAGAGATAGAGAATTGTTTCCCGATCATAATGACACCAAAAGTATGAAATTTGATGGAAAACTTAGGGAATTGTGCTCTCGCGAAGTTAGCTGTCTTGATGATGTTTACGCATTGGTGATTTTGCCCACTTTGAGCCCTATTTTCGGCCAATTCCAATGTACTAGTCGACAAAATCATAACTAGTTTGCTAGAACTCCATTTTTTCTATCGAATGAGTACAAGAAACCACCCATTTACCGATTTCAACTATTCAATAAAGTGATCAGAATTTAGCAATCTTGCCTATTTCACACAAATTTCAAAAGATGCCAATTTCCAATAGGGTCCAGAATAAACAAGAAAGACATTCCTGGCACTAAAATTTCCTCTGTTCATTAGTCACGTCCCCACACCCCTCTTACATTCTTTTGCTTTTCACTTTGAATTTTTATTCTCACAAAAAAATAGAAGATTTGCTGTTATGCAGACTACTGCATTAGTGTAGAAATGGTATAAATAATATCAGCGCACTTGTGAAAGAATATTAGACTCACCAGTTGACGTGTATTGGATGCGTAGCATGATTTGTTTACTTTTGAACTTTGGCAAAAATCGAAGATTTCTGCTACTTTGAACTCGATTTCAGGGTACTTTTCATTGTAAAACCAATCAAAATCGTCTCAATTTCTGTAATATGTCTTTTTTTTTTTTTTTATTATCACACTGGCCGATTCCCACCAAGGCAGGGTGGCCCGAAAAAGAAAAACTTTCACCATCATTCACTCCATCACTGTCTTGCCAGAAGGGTGCTTTACACTACAGTTTTTAAACTGCAACATTAACACCCCTCCTTCAGAGTGCAGGCACTGTAATATGTCTTCTATTCTATAAAATGAGACCAGGAAAACTAGAATACCATCATAAATACCACATGAAAATACAGTGCAAAGTCGCTGTTTTAAACCAAAAACACTGTCGAAGTTTTTTCTTTCTCATTACGCACTGTGTGCTGCAGGATTTTTTTTATACTGCGCACACTGACCACATAGACCCATTCTTTCATATGTAGGCCTACCAGCTTTCACTAGATTTGAGGGCGCTAGAATTTAGGCGTACTAGTACGTCAAAAACCCTGGTGCGTAAGCCGTACTAGTACGTCAGAAACCCTGAAAGGGTTAAACCGTCTTTGGAATAAAATTTTGTAAATATGGCATGAATGGAAAGAGAGAGGCAGGGAATGACCCAGGAAAGCTTGGATGAAGAGTGTGAAGAGTGTTTTGATAAGTAAAAGCTTGATTTGTGAAGTTAAATTGGAGTCACTGGAAACCGACATGCTTTTTGGGTCATTTAAATTACAGTGTCAATGTACTTTTGGAAAAAAACAGCTTTTGGGCCTGCTTTTGTGTACATGCAGTTTTCAGAAATGGATGCAGGCACCTTATTTCCTAGCTCTAGTACTCAAATACAGCTAAGATTTTTTCTGATTCTCTTCATGTTTATTAAACAACAGCATGTATATTTTTCAGGATCATAACACTTGTATATAAATACATTACTGTATACATTACTAAATTTAAAAATAAACTTTGATTTTTCTTTTTAGGTCACGCTGCCTTGGTGGGATATGGCTGGTTTGTTGAAAAAAAATATATGATGTAAATTCTTCCTCCATAAGCCATGTGTGTCGTAAGAAGTGACTAACATGCCGAGCTGATAACCCTTTCTCCTGTATGCATTACTAAAGTTAAAAAGAGTGTTATTTATTTATTTATTTTTCAATAAACCAGCCATATCCCACTGAGGCAGTGACCTAAAAAGGAAAACGAAAGTTTCTCTTTTTAAATTTAGTAATTTATGTAGGAGAACAGGTTACTAGCCCCTCCTTCCAGCATTTTAGTCACCTCTTATGACACGCATGGCTTACGGAGGAAGAATTCTGTCCCACTTCCCCATGGAGTCCTTCACGTATATAGTAGGACCCACATATCCATGGGGAATATCATTCGAGGACCTGCCATGAATACTGAAACTGTGAATAATAGGAAACCCTATATATTAATCTTATACATACCTATTATAAAAGTTTAATTGATAAATTATGCACAATAAGTGGAGAATTATCACTTTTTCACTGATGGTAAGCACTTCACAGCTTCTCTTATGATTTGACAAACTGCCAGTTTCTCTACTTTTGTGCTTTGGAGCCATTATTATGCAATATTAAGAGGTGTTTTTGAGAAACAGTAAACCGTAGATAACTGAAACTGCGGATAACCCCACCCTCTCTGTCTCTGTCTCTCTGTGTCTCTCTCTTTCTTTTACTAGGTTAAGGATCCCTAACTTTATTGACGAGCTATTTACAGGTTAAGGATTCCTAACTTTATCTCCGTCTCTCTGGAGGTATTTTTTCACACTCGGGCCAAACCCTTCATGGACCCAGTCAATGAAAATTTGCCTTTTGACTCATGCCTTATTGTTAGCCCTCCACATCACACACAATCTACTCTTGGCGACATTGTTTTTCTTGAACACTCCGGGATTTTCAGTGTGATACACCAGTAAAGGCTTCACTTTGAAATCCCCACTAGCATTATCACAGAACAAAAGAGTAAGCCTATCCTTCATAGGCTTGTGTCCTGGCAGTGCCTTTTCCTCCTGCATGATGTAGGTCCTCTTAGGCATTTTCTTCCAGAAGAGGCCTGTTTCGTCACAATTGAACACTTGTTGGGGGTGAAATTCTTCAGTCTCTACATACCCTTTGAATTCCTGCACAAATTTTTCAGCCACATGTTTGTCTGAACTTGCAGCCTTACCATGCCTCACAACACTGTGTATGCCACTACACTTCTTAAATCTGTTAAACCAGCCTCTGCTGGCCTTAAATTCACTAACATCAGCACTAGTTCCAGGC